AAGGCTGGTGTCATAGTTTGCGATCGCTGGATCCGAGCGTTGCGCCAGCGACTCGAACTTTGTACCAGCGACTCCCAACGTTCAAAGGAAGCCCGCCACTTTCAAACAGTGTCCACTGTCAAGTCCCGCCACTTTCAAAAAGGGTCCACTGTCACGTGACACTGTTCGAAAGTGCGGGCTTCCTTTGGGTCCCGCCACTATTGAGTCGCTGGTACATAGTTCGACTCGCTGGTACATCGTTCGACTCGCTGGCGCAAAGTTCGATTCGCTGGTGCAACGTTCGATTCGCTGGCGCAACGCTCGGATCCAGCGATTCGCTAGCGAATCGCTCGATTCGCAAACTATGACATCGGCCTAGGGAGAACTCAGTCTCGATGTGATGGCTTATACTGGTTTCTTCTTCTCTACCGCACGCCCCTGCTTTCACATTTGATCACCTCTGAATAATCGCATCCACTGCTCTCAAGATGAACCTTTCCTTCGAAAATTTCGTGGCAATCATTGATTGCGACGAAAGAGCCTACACTCGGAATGGAGGTGTTGATTCAGATAACGCTACTGTGCTTTTAGTTTCAAAAGGAATTTGAAGGTCCCCTCGAGCCCCGGTTGGGTGGAGTCGGCAAATGAGAGCGACCGTTAGAGGTCTATTGTTGTGAGAACACGTGTTTAACCTTTAACGAAAAAGATTTTTGCAGCGAAAACCGGCTTTCGCATTCGTCCTGTGGCCGGCTACCTGTCGGCACGCGACTTTCTGGCCGGTCTTGCATATCGGGTGTTCTTCTGCACGCAGTACTTGCGCCATCATGCTGATCCACTTTACACACCTGAACCGTGAGTCATCTAATTTTTCACATTACCAGTTCCCAGAACCTTTCACTTCACATTTCAAAGGCAATTGGAATGACAGGTTGGAAATAATTACAAAACTGGTAAGTTTCCACAAAAACTAGCGCAGCGGTGAGACCTTTTGTTTGTCATGAAAATCTTACACTCATGGTTCTCTCTCTTGAATTTCCTAGCAAGACTTCCTTTTCAAGTAAGTCAAGCTCAAGTTTTTAATAACTGGCGCTTATTGAACCTGATTAATTGACAAAACTTCAACTTTCCCTTTTTAACATAATTGGAGGCGGAGAGGAGTGCAGAGCAGGACTGGCCTACTACTGCCTTTGTAGTCTGGGGATCAAATCCCGATTCGAGCATACCGTAAAGGGAATCCTCCACGGAAAAAGGCTCCGCCCTCATTACCACAGAAAACGATACATTAAAGAATCTTCCACGGAAAGAGTGATCATTTTGTCTTGTGTGTAGGATTAGTATTATCGAAACTAACACTTATGTTCCGTTCTTTTTGCTATGCTCATGAGGCTAGGGGCCTAGGGGTATCGTTTTTCTAGGGTAATGGAGGCGGAGCTTTTTCGCGGGGAAGTTTCCTTTAAGAAAGCATGCTAAACTCCCGCCATTTTGGCATGGACTGGCATTCTAGCCTGTTCCAAGCTCATTTTTAAAATAGTAGAAACTTTGAATCTGCACAGATGTTTCACAAATATGCTGGGTGTGTGAGCAAAACTTTCGCCCTAGGCGGGACGACACCCCGCACCTCTCGCTTTCCAGGCAACTGCGTTACCCGTTACAGTATCACAACTAGTATGTCTGTGAAAAAAAAGCATCACAAGGCGAAACTGCCGTCCAAAAACAGCTCAGAAGAATTGAACCTTAAGGTTTAACCTTGCTTCGGGCGACATTGTCGCATGTGTACTGAGATGCACATCAACTGCTGCTTCCAGAAGTATTTGCTGATTAAATTCATTCGAACAAGTCATTATGAAGTTGGGTAAAAGTTGAGTGCGAGGCGTATCCAGGAAAGTAGACGGTCAACTCATAGCGGATCCCAGCCCATCTTTTGCAAGATTGATTGATTTCAATTGGTTTCTTTTTCCAATTACCACGCTCATCAATCACAGCATATTTGCTTAGAATTTGATGACGGCTAGACTCATTCATTTGCAAATCACATTTTGCACTACAGGTGCAACGCTGTGGTTCATATGTGAATCACATCCATGTGATTTGCTTTCTTTTCTTCGTCCGCGATTTTTCTAGAACTCTTTCTTTGTACACTGGTGTGCAAAACTGAAGGACGAGATAGGTGAATTAAATAACTTGTTGACAGCTTTGTGGACCGTTCAACTGCTAATGTCAATTGGTTTCTGTAGTGTACTGTAGCAGCTCTTTCGCCCCCCCTGGGTTAGGTTCTTTAGAAGCTATAGCATAGAAGACCTAGCCAAACGTATATGCTCTCGCCATAACCCGTTGAAAATGAAAATGAACATAGGTTTTCCTTAAGTTTTGCACACCAGATGTAGTTCCGTACCGGGCATAACCATACCACGGCAGGTGCTGGTATCGAAACAGTCAGACATGCTTCAGTTTAGTCATAATTTCCCAACGCGTTAAATCATTTTCGAGTTCGGTTCGATATTCCCCGTTTCTTCTATCATTCGTTACTGTTATAAACATGAGCAACAGAGTAGTGATAAGTCTCTGCACGCTTTTTTTTCGGACTCTGCAATCCTATACTGAAAGCGCTGTGTTGCCATTCTACAAACCTGTAACGCAAATCGCCTCCGTCTAGGACGCACGGCCCGAAAACACAGAAACCCTTGTATTTCGTTCAGACACAGACCTTTACCTCGATCTGTGCCAAAATAAACTATTAACCTTTTTCGAAAGAAGGTACAACGAGGCGAAAAAACTGCAACCGGTAGCATTTCAAAAACATCAACAAGTATGACCGAGGTAAACACGTATGAGTGTCGAAAGATCAAGCGTTTAAGTCATCAATTATCTCCACCACTAGCTAAAGTATGGACTAGAGATACCATCATTGATGATGCGGGTGGTTTGGTGATTCGAAGTTGCACTTAACAACTTACTCGGCCGTCCGCATCTCGATTACAACTTTCGGGCACATACTAGAGCTATTCCGACTCTTCAGACTCTCTCGCCACCTCCGAGAGGGGAACTTACGATCCAAGTTGACAGTCGACTTATTGTCTGAGCAAGCAAATCTGCAGGTTTTTGCAGTAACACCTCTCGCAACGCGTCCTACCTGTTTACATTGAGTCGCAAAAGCTAGCAAAGAAAAATAAACCATTATAGAAACATTACCACACGGTTCGATAACCAGGTAAAGAGCAAGTGGAGAGTGGAAACTTCTGTTTAATTGGACACTTTATTGTGCCGCGGTCTTAACATTAAGGGCAAGACGGATGTTTTAAGACTGAGTGACCAGCATGGGTATATGTGATCATTCCATAGAATATCTTTACGCTCATCATCCTGAGGGGGTGACATTTAAAACATGGGCATTGATAACGCGACACCGTAGGCACCAGGCGCCCAAAAGAGTGGACGGACGATAAGCGGAAAACAGAAATGCTCATGTCTGCTCGAAAATGCATTGCACCTCCCTAAGCTTGGGCCCCAAGTGATGTAAGTTGTCTCTCTCTCCTCAATGCCCCTCGACCCCCACCCGAACTACTTATGAGCGCCATATTTAAAAATATAACTGGTGGAATTCAAACATACTCGAAGTGCTTCGCATTTTGGTTTCCATTGGCGCGATCCTGACAGCAGTTGTGCATTCCTGCATAAGCATAAGGCGGTGTCAGACTTTGCGAATCCTCGCATTTGCTAGGAGCAAATTCAGTGATCCGCTAGCGAATACAGGAATTTGCTACTAGCGGATCGCTAAGTTAGTAGTCTGACACCGGCCAAAGAGAGAGCGTGGAGGGGGATGGGGGTGCACCGAGATGGGTGATACGCTCACCACGTTCAAAAATTCGGATGGGATGCGGATAGGATGTGAAAGGTGTTGGCTATTCAACTGGTTCTTATTAGAGATTTGGCCTAACATTAGAGAAGAAGAGCAAGGAGGGGTGCTCCTTTCACTCACAGCTTCATTTTCCAAGATTCTTTTCAGTTTGCATCATGCGTCTTCGTTTCGTTTTGAAAGATTCGGAAATAAAATCTGACCACCAGAAGTCTCCTCTAAATTCAAAAGATTTTCAGAGATACTGTCCATGAACTGATGGGCCACATGGCGCTCTTTGCGGATCCTGACTTTGCCCAGTTCTCCCAGGAGATTGGCTTGGCCTCCTTGGGAGCCAGTGACGATGACCTCAAGAAACTTGCCACGGTGGGTACGCGTAACTTGTTACAATTGATTTACGTTGAGAGAATCGGAGAAAAGTCAAAGAAGTGGCAACGGAAATGTTTTTAAAGAGTGCACTGCCTGTCAACTCCCGTTAAGATGATGGGTTATTTGACGTAGTGCTCAATCACCTGAAAAGTGCAGAAGAATTTCTAAAGCGGCAGAATTTCTATTTTTCTTCTCAGCTGAGGGGTGAACGCTCATGAAATTTTCGTAAAGTTATGCACTGATTGGAGGCGCCCATTACCGACTCGCCGTCGTTGGATTGAGTCGCGCCATGCCCAAATAAGCTCATAATTAATAAAGTATATTACTTAAATGCACAATAAGGTTTTTTGTAAAGATGTCAGCGATGAAAAACAACGCTTACCAACCGTGTTCTCCGAGTTGCTTCTACCCGTAGACCAAAAGTACGGCACTCGAGTTAGCACCGGTAGAGCTACTTTTGTAAATTTCTCACAGTCCCACCGAACCCTGTACAATAATTGAACGAATATGTCCTAAGAAAATTATATTCTATCTTATCCATAAATCGCTGGCTTGAAACGGGTCTCAAGGACTTCTGTCAACCGTGAGGCTTGGCGGTTCAGCGTTTTGTAGTGATGTCTGGGAGCTCTCACAAGTGCACACTATCACAGCATCTCCTCTTTCTTTATCTCCTTCAAAAGGCTTAGTCCCAATAAGACACAAAGTGTGTGCTTTTCCAGCTACGCTCTCACCTTTGGTTGACAGGAGCTTTGTTACCGCTTTGAAACCCTTTATCTATGATAAGAACGAAAAGAACAAAGAAGGTGCATTTGTTTGAGCAAACAATTCCAAAAATCGAAAAGACATTGGCTCGCGTTTCATATCCCCCCCCCCCGGACATCCGTACACCGTCTGGCGCGGGAAGTTTCTCTCGATAATCTCGGTACCGTTACTGGAACCCTTTCGGACCTTTACTTTTGATTGCGCGTTAAATATTAGGTTGTCCCATAATTAGTGAATCACTTTACATTTATCGTTATTAAAAATCCAAGAAAATTGGTGAAGGCGTGAAACATGTTTTGCGAAGTAGCATCCACATTGTCCTACTTGAGCAATTACTCAGCCCATTTCCATGCTGCCTTCCGTGGCTGACATTTCAATTTTTCTGGAACCTATTTTTGAGCTCCCTTCTTAATCACTTCTGATTAAGATCTTTCAAACGCCCAACAATATAGAGAATCGACCAGCAGATAGGCAAGGGCACGCTCCCTCACTCCACGGTCTGCTTATAGTTCACTCTATCGAGAGGTTGGCTTTTTTAGTTGAAGATGACCCACACTCCAACTACCCCTCAACTGGCAATCTCAGTGCTATACCCAGCGCCACTAAGCGTGAATATGGACGAACTAGCCGCCTTTTGCTAGAGCATGCCCGACTTGTTAAAATAATGGAATGTAGACATCTACGTAGAGTTGTAACGATTTTAAAATATTTAATTTGTATCTCGTGTGCTTTGAGCTCGAAACAGCTCCGCACACGATCTGACATCGTCATGTTCCTTCTGATCTCCCTTAGTTCCTTACAGTGATCATCCAGCTTATTCACCAGGGTTCTGGACTGCGTGAAGTGTACTAGCAAATCTCCGAGGAGCAGTAGCCCAGCGTGAACGATTCGGGAGTTCTGATAGCAAAAGCCAAACCTCATTCTAGTCCGACCCTTCAGAGATATTGGTGGAGCACGAGAGTGACCATGCGCTGGGAACCGCCGCCTAGTAATACTAGAGTCACTGAAGAAGATCAACATCTACAGCGTAATGGCGGCGCATTCAATTTGAAAGTAAAGCAAGACAAAGTCTGCTTTTTTCCTGAGGTCGTTCGACCCACCTTGCGGAGAATATTCATAAAAAATTAGAGACTCTCAAGCTAGCCGATCTTCCACTTCCTCTGTGTGGCCCTATCCTCGTGCCAACAAGAGGCAACTCAGTTTGACCTCTAGCGCTCTTCCCCAGGGAGGAATTTTACGCTAAGTGACATGACCTCAAACTCGACTTCCGATCTTTCTTCGATCAATAGCTCCTGGATTTCTAGAGATAAGACAGCGACAAAATTTCCCTGTATAGGCAATACATTGTAGATGACAGGGATGTATGTTTGGATGAGCAGAGACTCCATATGAAAAAGAAAAAAATTCGAATTCAAAAATACCCAAAGTGATTCACTAATTATGGGACAACCTAATCGTAATTACTTCTGCATTGATATTCGATCGATCGATCTGTTTTATTGTCCAACGATGGTTTCACCGATTTTTCAATGTTCGCCTGGGTTACGTGACTCACCGCTGGCGTGACTTCTTTATATGCTTCGCCTTTGTATGCCGGCCACTTAGACGTCCATAGGCCTGTGTGCTTTTCGGAAGCTTGATTTTTCTTCGGAACTGAAATATTTGTGCAGTGAAATGTGTAATGTTGCTCGAGTGATCACGACGAACACATTTTATGTCAGAAAGGATGCAGTAATACCCTGGAAGGGATTCCTTCAACAGCCACATACGGAATACCTAAATAAAGTATCACATCATACCACAAACGCCGAAACATGAGCCTGCAATCGTTTTTTTTTTTCTCGAAACATGATTTCTACCATAATAAAATTGTGTACACAAATCGACAGCGTCCCTGCAGGTTTTCTTCGAAGCCGTAAGTAAACAAGTCGCAAAATAAATTCACAGGAATCTCTAATTGACCAAAAAACCGGAGGAACCGTTTTACGATAAGCAGGATAGAAAGGAGGTCCACAAGCTGGCAGAAGATTCTTGCGAGTTCCCTTCTGCGGAAGGATCACATTCACTTGTAGCGGCCGGCCCTGCAGTAAATGGGAGATATTCAGAATAACTGAATGAGGTGATGAAGCTTTGGCAACAGTTGCTTATTATCGAACGCAGTTGAGTTCTCTTGCAGTAAATCGTAACTGCTGACTGCTAAGTACAGCGTTTTCGATATTTCCTTCTATTTTTTCCTCCACTCGCGGTCTACTTTGCACCCATGCTTTCATTTTCAAGCGCAAAAAGAACGCGGTCTGAATGTGGAATGTGAATTTGCGATGAGAACCGACTAGCTGGCATATTCATTTTCATCAACTAATCTGAATGTACAGCAATGCAGAACCGTTGTTTAGGGAAATCACTTGTAACTATTTCAGCTCTATTTCTTCTCCATCGAGTTTGGTCTGTGCTCGGATGGGCAGGCGGAACCTGCTGCCAACGGCACCAATTCGACACCTGCCATTAAGTACAAAATCTATGGAGCAGGGCTTCTTAGTAGTGCAGGAGAACTGCAGGTGAGTCTCCGGAGATCTTTATGGAAATCTAATATTTAAAAACGCTCAGGTTGAGGGCTCACTCACCTTCCTAATTGGCTGTGCTAAGGGAATGAGAGACTAAGCGCGGAGAGGAGAGTATGAGGCGAGAGAGCGCAACAGATGAGAGGGCGCCAGACAACAGCCTGATAAAGAAAAATGCAGCTGCAGCAGCTTACTTTGCAAGGCCCTAGCGCTCTTGTCGGGTGATTTCCGTGCACGGGAATGCCACATCTGTGATTGTCCTCTAGGGGTCTATCCTACAGACCGAAGGAAAGCGTTCACACGACTTCTGCCTGGGTTGTGCCTTTAACAAAGCAATTCGTTTTTAATACCCAACTGAAATCACAGAAGACATGAAATAGTATTTTTCTGGTCTTCTTTCTTCAACTCAATTTTGCTCTTTTTTACGTAGCAAATAATGGATCGTTTCCTATCAACCACACCATGCCCAGCTACCTATGTGTAGACGTAGATCGTAT